TGTCCTGGCCATCTCTTCCTCACCACAACCACATCCTCTAGAGCTAAGTGAGTTTCCTGAAGGAACACTATTTTAGCTTTCATTTGCCTAATTCTGTTCAACACTTGTTTTAACTTTACAAGTTTCTTTAGACCTCTTACATTCCAGGATGTAAACTGAATATCAGATAGGGGGACCATTATTGTATATACAGTGTATTCCCGTCCTTGCAAAAAGTACTAAAGTAAGTATATAGGCTATTTTTGTAAAGAAGAAGATATTAAAACAAAAAACAAAAAAAAACCCCACTATAACATAGTAAAAGCAAAATACAACCAAACAGACCAACTGGCCAACAAGCAGGTACTTCCCCAACTGAAACACCATCACCCCTCCTCCCCTCCCCAGTTAAACACTTCCCAAGGACTTCTCGAAAGAGCCTGATTATGGAACTATGCCGGTCCACCCGCGATCTTTCCACAGTGAGGAACAGCTTGCCTGATGGCTGGACGGGTCCCGCAACAGTCAGAAATGTCAACCCAACATCACGAAAAATACATTATTTTTAGCATATAGCTTATCAGTAATAAACCATAAGTTTGCTTACGTTCATGAAACTGACCCCAAAGAGAAATGTCTTGCTAAGCATTAGTTCCTTTCAGATCTTGCAAAAACCTCTGAGCGTCCGAAGGGTTGTCATATAAGTGGCGCTTTCCCTTGTATGTCACGCACAAAGTAGCTGGATGCAAGATGCCGCAATTCGGGGATGTTGAGATCGCGAAGATCCTTCTTCACTGGGTCAAATCGTTTCCATTTCTTGTGCAGTTCAGCTGACACGTCAGAAAAGAACATAAGCTTTCTTTCGTCCTTCATCACTGTGCCTTTTGCTCGAGCTGCATTGAGGGTACGGACTTTGTCAGCGTAGTTTAGGAATTTCATTATCACGGCTCTCGGTGGAGAGTCAGAACGATCTTCGGAGAATCTACCGATTCGGTGAGCTCTCTCAATTACAAGAGTGCCAGGAAAGTTTTCCGGACCGAGGATCTCAGGGAGTAATTTCGCTAAAAAGGCACACATATCCTTCCCCTCGATTTTTTCTGAAAGTCCCACTAATCGTAGATTGGACCGACGACTGCGATTTTCCAGATCATCGACTTTTAATGAAAGAGATTCTATGGCAGTTTTCAATTTTGCGTTCTGCGTTTGCAACTCTGTGACGTTATCTTCTTGAGTGCCTATTCGATCCTCGGCTTCTGTTACCCGTGTTGTGAGAGCTTTAAGATCGCACTGCACTCCGTTGATCGCTTGGAGCAATCCATCAAATCGCACAGCAAAGTCCGATTTCAGTGAGTGGATAGCTTCAAGAATTGCAGACTCTTGGCTAACACCTGACGCTGCCTCCTCGCTATTAGCTTTATTGGCTTTAGCATCTGCCTCGACCTCTCCAGGTACGGTCGATTTGACTTGTTTCTGTGTAGTTTTCATTGGTTTTGATGGCATCTTGGAACGTTAAGATGTATCCTAATTCAAAATGGAATCAGTCTGTCAACGTTTGTTCAGTTAAAGAAGAAAATTTAAGTCAGTATTTGTTGCGGAGCTCCGATTCGCGTTCCACTCAGCGCCGCGCCATAACCGGAAGTCAACTAGCAGAAGGTTATACACACAACCACCAGTCTGTTTTTTTTTTGTTTTTTTTTTACATATATCCATACTCACCCACCAGGTTCCCGCACCGGAGCCCTGTCCGGGGACGCTCTTCGACCGGACCATCAGTAAGGTGGTTTACTATGACCATAGAACCAATCCAAAACATCATAGGTCCAGTAGGTAGGCGCTCGCAGGAAGCTTCCACCTAACCTCGGTCAGGTGGAGAGATGGTGGTTACAGGGGGAATTAGGAGAGGAGCAGGGTAGGTGTTTCTCCCTGAGGGAAAAAGAGTGGATATCTAGGTATCACTCTGGTCTGGACGAAAGCGCCGACGCTTCGTCTGGATCATGTCCCTCAGGTCTCGCCTGCCTCCCCTTGACCCACGACGCTTCCTGCCCCCGCCCGCAGGCGGAGGGGGCGCGCGAGTCGCGGCACTAGTCTTCTGTGCTCGTCTCTGATCCTCGAACCGAGACGGGCCAGGACCCCTGGGTTGTTCGGGCTCAGACCTGGACCTTCGTGGAATGAAGGTTTTGAACGCTGCTGAGCGCGACTTCGCCTCTCTGAACTTGTCGACCACCGCCTCGACGGAGGTACCGAACAGTTCAGAGGGCGAAACCGGGGCATCGAGAAGAAAGCCCCTTTCTTTCTTCCCGACGTCCGCCAGGTTCACCCACAGATGCCTCTCCGTTACTACCATAGACGCCATCGACCTGCCCATGGCGGAGGCAGCCTGCTTGGTAGCCCGGAGAGCTAGGTCTGTGGTGCGTCGCAGCTCAGCCGTCTCATCAGGGGAAAGGCCTTTATCCAGGTCTTTCAGCAGGTCCGCCTGGTATGCCTGGAGCACCGCCATTGTGTGCAACGAAGCAACCGCCTGACCTGCTGCTGCGTATGCCTTGCCATTCATGCGAGATGTCATTTGAAGGGGCACGGATGGCAAGGAGGGAGTTTTGAGAGATGACGTCTCCCCCATAGAGAGGTAGCTGGCTAGCGTTTCTTCTACCGGGGGCATCCTCTCATAGCCGCTTTCGCGCATCGCCTCGATGTTCGCGTAACTCGCACGCTGAAATCGACGGACGCGTGAGGAAAACGGCCTCTCCCATTCCTTCTCGATCTCAGCATGTAGATCAGGGAGGAAAGGAAGGCTCACCTGGGCTGGAGGGTTATGGCCAGACAGATAACGCTCATCGAGACGACCTCGCGGCGTTACCTCCTCAGCCCGCTTCCACGGCAAATCGAGCCTTGCCGTGGCGCGTTCCATAACCTCTAGCAGCTCATCATACGCAGGGCAGGAGGATTGAGAAGGCTCAGCCTCAGCTTCTTCGCTCCCCTCATCCATTTCCTGCTCTTTCTGGGCTGGGCCCAGCAGAGCACTGGCCCCCGGATCAGATGATGTCAGGGACAAAACCTCATCGTCCGGCGGCCGTCTCTCATCCGCCGCTGACGAGCGCAAGAGGGAAAACCCCCGTTCGAGCTCCTCGGCCAGATCCACCTGCGATCCCCACGAGCTCATTCTTGACCTCTCTTCCCATTGGTTGGGGGCGGGATATATAAAAAGGGCGGTGCACCGAGAGCGGGAGTGAGGATGGCGAAAGAAATGTGATCGTATGTGAACTGTTCTGATTGTAAGAATTTCTTTTAGTTAATCAGTAAAAATAAAAGTGCACCAATTCAAAGAACATCGTTATTGTATGGTCTTTTGGCAAATACATAACAGAGTCAAATCAAGGACTGCAGCGACAATATAAAGGGCTCTCGGTAATGGCAGCAATGGAGAGCTTCACTCTTTGATAAATTAATGTGTCCTTGGCGGCTTGAAAAAGAGTTCCCTTCATGTTAGAAATACCCAACATGTGCTGAGAGCTCAGGAAAGCTTCCAAGGTCCTTACACTCGAACTCGAGCTTAGATTGAACAGGTTAATCAGGTAATATGGATTGTCTATTTGTCTTTGCCACTGACAAAAAAATTATCAAATAAAGCTTGTATTGGCTTTTTGATACCAAAATCCATGGTACACTGGGATCTCACCTGTAGGACGGGGGCGGATGTCCCTGGGCTTCACAGCTGAAGGTGACCTCCCGGCTGGGCTCATTAAGATGGAGAGGGAATACAATACTTCCCGGCTGTTTGGTGAATACTGGCCTCAGAGGACCGCTGCCTTCTAAAGGTGAGGAGCAGGAAAAGAACAGAAATACACTGTTAGTCAATGCTAAGTTTAGCTTAGTGCGCTTTTTAGAGCAAAGCTGTTGTGAAAGGTATCCATCTGTTCACTGGATGAAAGCCTAGCCGTCATTCAATAGCTGTCAAGTGGGTTGAGTAAATTTGGCGCAACCAAAGAAACCTTAAAAACACTTGAGATTATTGTTGGCAGGATCTTAGCTACGCTACACGTTCAAGATGCTAATATCACAAACCCCAAAAGAGCACACATATGTTAAAATACTAAACTTTTGAGCTTAGATATTGTTCTGAGAAAGTGAATTTCTTTACATAGGCTAGCTTACGGTGTACTGCTACCATGTTGTGCTATGTTTGCAATTCATAAATCTAGTCAGAGAAAAAAACAAGAGCTTATTCAATTTTCAAGAAACACATGGTGACCCACTAAGCTCACTAATGCGATTTCCTCAAACCAAAGACACTAACTTGCAGGAAAGTAGCTTAATTGTGTGTATCGTGTAAACACTTAAAAGCCTAGATATTTTGTGGTTTATTATTCTCCGTAATTACATGTTGATGGTTAGCGCAAATCACTTATCCTGTCTTATTAAGCACAAATGGCCATCAGCAAAATGAGACATCCACCCAACAATGAGCAGGACAGAGAGTTTTTATGCGAGTGTGAATGCAATTTGCATAATCTAAAACTCATTGTGTGCCGATTAACACAACATAGAGCCTAATGTGTCCAAAACACCAAAAAACATCTGCATGTTTTGTTTTAAAAAACTGTGGTGAGCAGAATTTTGGGGTATTCAAATGACACTGAACCGAAACTACTCAGCATGTCTTTCTGTATCTGCCTTTTTGACCTTTCAAACATGTTATGCAAAGAAATTAGTTAATTTTGTTTTTCATGCTATTAAAATAACCAGTGTAGTTTTAATTTTCTAGTGTGTAAACAGCAATAAACTAATTTATAAACAGTTCTGAGCCTTTGTCTGTGTAGCCAGAATATGACATGCTGTTTCCCCAAACACTTTTTTTGTATTTTACTGTATGTATTTTATTAATAAATTAATAAATATTTTTTATAATAATTTTATCAATACTATATTTATTAATCAATTTTATGTATTAATCATTACATCAAGAGCAATAATTAAGAATTAATGCATCTGAAAATTCGGAACTAACAGTTTTTTCATGCCAGAAACGCTAAATTGGTCTACCTAGTGTTCAATTAGCATCTCACTAATGCAGGAGAGGTGGAGTTCATTGTGATTCTGGGTGATAATAGAGCACAGAAGAGCTCTCAGCGGAGGTGTTTGAAATCTATTGAATGGGGAATACTCTGCACCAGGGCTAATTTCAATATCACTGTCAAACAAGGGCTTTAACTCTTAAATGCAACAGGAAACATGAGACGATGTAAAGACGTGGGTGAGAGCAAATGATAAAGTGATACTTCACAACCATAATATTGACTCAGATTTCCCATTAGCTACCACAGTGCTTTCCATTGTTTAGCTGATCCATATTTCCAAAAGCCCAGCCTCCTCCCACTGTCAACTTTCTTATGATTTTATTTTTATACTAAAATGTGGTGACTGTGGTGATGCTATTACAAAAGAAGTGTAAACAAAACTTGGTTCTCACGAGGCTAGCATATTCTCACCGGATCTTACGCTACAACTACGTCCTGCATCATCCGCTGGAATGCCACTCACTCAGCAGTTAGCACAAGCTAAAGATTACGGTTTATAAAGTTTTAAATATGGATATTTTTCTTACACAAACACATTGATTCGCTTCAGAAGGCCTTTATTAACCCACTGAGCCAAGTGGAGCACTATTTATGATTTTTTGGGGGCTTCAAAATTTCCACCACCATTCACTGCCATTATAAAGCCTGGAAGAGCAGGACATTTTTTACTATAACTCCGATTGCATTCACCTGAAAGAAGAAAGTCATATACACCTAGAATGGCTTGTGGGAGAGTAAATCATGGGGTAATTTTAATTTTTGGTTGAACTACCCCTTTAATATCATTAATGCGGTAATCTTCAAGCAGCACAAAAATACACTTTTTCATTGATCAGTGAGTCAACAGCAAGAACTGCCATAAGTCTGTCATTTTGTCTTAAGAAAAAACTCAGAATTTTCTTAAGAAAACATTTGAGAACTTCTTAGAATATGTTTAACTTTGTAAAATTTTTCAGGACAATTTTCCTGAATTTGCTCTCAAGATCTCAGACAGACAATTTTTTTATAATTAAAACATTAAAAGATCATGTTAAATCATTTGTGCATAATTAATATTAAAGGGGTCATATGATGTTGCTAAAAAGAACATTATTTTGTGTATTTGGTGTAATGAAATGTGTTTATGCGGTTTAAGGTTCAAAAAACACATTATTTTCCACATACTGTACATTATTGTTTCTCCTCTATGCCCCGCCTTTCTGAAACGCGTCATCGTGACATAGACATGTGGGGGCATGTTAGAAAGAGCCATTTTAGATAGGCGTGGTTGACTCTTAACTTTTATAAAGAATATCTCTTTGGATTTGAGACTTCAGTCTTTGCAACTTTACAGATCTTCTTTATGCACCAAGAGCTTGTAACACTCCAAAGAGAAAGGAAAAATTGAAATGGCATCATATGACCCCTTTAAGGCTCTAAGTCATTTCATGATGTCATAACTTCCCACCACCCCACTACTTTTTAAACTGAAGTGACGCCCATGGGATTACTAGATATATTGTGTTCCACGTGTATCTGCCAAAAACTTCTTATGCAATCTTATGATGCAGATGGACATGAAAGTCAGTCCGCTGAGATGTTATCAAAGGCTAAAACACACATTAATTATCAAGTGACTCACCCATGCTAAACAAAGAGCGCTCTCATAATCAAGGCTCTGGAACACGTCAAATGGGGGCGTCAGTATTGACACTGCACTAAAGCATCTGTCTGTATCCGATCAAGCTGTTCAAAAGCAACATGAACAATTTTCCACAGAACAGCTAAATGAGATATCCATACCCAAAATCTGGTACCAAAAGACATGAGGTGTATGTAAATAAAGACAGGGGCAAGAAAGGTTTCAAAACTTCAGGTTGAGCTCTGAGCTGATGCAAACCTGAGAAATGCAGCCGAGAGTGAATTTCTATCATGCGAGGAATTAATGCCGCAATTAAGGTTCATATTTGCCAGAGGACAAGAGGACAGAACTGTCTATTTCAGAAACACCATGTAATTACAAGCTTTGGTGATGCTGCAAATATTACAAGATGTTATTAAAATATTGATGGGGGGTAATCTGAAACCGTGTCATCGCCTGCGGGTTTGACGTTATATTGTGAGGATTCTGCTGAGGGCTTTACTGCAGTGTTCGAACTATACCGTGGACTTTGGGGGAGCCCACTTGTTTTTGTTTTTATATTTTATCACTATACAGGATTTTAAATCGCCTTCATGCATGAATGAATGATATTTTTTGCAATTTTACACATAATAATCCACGATGATCACATTACACAAAACTGAAATTGCACGTCAAAGTAACACATTGTCAATATTTTTTGAGACCCCCCAAAATTTCACAAATCACGTTTTCAGGGGAGCCCATGTCTTATTAAGGGGAGCCGAGCTCCCCCTAGCTCCCCAGTAGTTCGCACCCTGCTTTACTGGTGCTGTGATTTCTGACAACAGACCACAGCTGTCCAAAGAAACACACAGTTGCTGAGACATTATCTATCCCTGTTCAGCACAGAATACTAACAAGAGGTTTACAACACAAAAGCCCACCTTGGTGGAAAGGGAGGTCATTATGAAGGAAGTTGGAGAAAGCAGGTCTCTCTCTCTCTTTCTCTCTACCTGAGGGGAGAATTTATATGGCAGCGCAGCCCCCCTGGAGCAGCACCGGAGCTGGAGGGAAAAGCCAAGGAGCAATTTGGAGGCCCAAATAAAAACTAATCTCAAATTCAATACCATCTGACAAGCCAATGAATTCAGCCAGCTTACCTCAGCATGAATATCCAGCCACAGACAGGGCGCACAGGGTGAGAGAGGGAGGGAGGGAGGGAGGGAAAGGGTTTAGATGTTCGTGTGCCCTCCAATCCGTTTGATTCTGATTCAAGGGTTTTATTCATCAAATGAAAAAGCCAATCTTGGTAAGTTAAAATACACACCTGCACTCACCCAC